CAACTGGGCCACCATTTAAAACAAAGACAAATTCGCACTTTCCCCTATAAGTTCCCGAAAGCCACCTCCCAATCCCACCCACCTTTGTCTCACACCACTTTGGTGACATCTCTGGGCGAAAAATGCGAAATAAAATAAATATTGACGTGCGAGTTGAGTTGCTGCAACAGCAGCAGCAGCAGCAGCATCAGCAGAGTTCAGGATTGGGTGATTTATGTGGCATGACTCATTGGGCGAAAAAGTGTAACTGGAACTGAAGCCGAAGCCAGTCTAGATTTATGCGGTGCTATATAGCTGACCAATCTGTCTGTCCGCACAGCCCGACAATTCCCAGACACGAGGGCAAACAGACCGAAAGGAAAAATTGAAAACTTTTGTATGAAATGACATTCGCAGGGAGTGGGCCCGGGTTGGACCACTCTCTCTGGCAGGAAAGTCAAGTGGAGTGGGCCAGCAAATATGCCAATATTCTGCAGGCACTTGGCACATATAATGTAAAGAAAGTACGCTAAAGTACGTTGAACCCTTGCGGAAAAGTGAAATGCATTGGGTTACACGAGAAAAAATATTATTTATACATAATTTTGATAATGAAAAGTATTTAAGTATTCATATAATTTAAAGCCAAATAAGACTAAGTTTATAAATTGGAAAAGAGTAGAAAGAAAGCTAATTCCCCTTTGTATAAAATATGACAAGGAATTTAAATTTTAATTCAAAATTAAGAGCAACTTAAGAATTAAATGATTGTTTTATATATGTTTAACACTTTTCTTTAGTTAAATTTATTTACTTTTCTAAATTTAATTAAAAACCCAATAAACTATTACTTAAAATGCTAATAAATTTTTCTACAACTGCATTTTGAGGGGCGGCTGGCAAAATGCAAATGAGTGGGCGGCCTGGGTGGCATTGATGGCACGATGCTCACGGCCTCAGATTTGGCTCGCTTCGGTTTTACTTTCCGCCAGATACTCACACTCTGCTGACTCGTATTTCGGTCACAGAGTGCGTGGAGGGGGATTCACTTGTGCATGTCAATCACATTCTGACAGCAGGCGACGCAGGCATATAGCATACACAAACCATAGGAAAACACCTCCCCGTCCGACCACAGAGACACTCATCCATCTAGCCCATCCACAATCCATCCTCATCTTCCTGGCAGCGATGCGACGATGAGACAAACATTCGCACAATTTGATTGACAGGCTAAAACGGTCGTACAGGCAATGAAATGGAATAGCCAGGCCACAGAGATTTCTATATATATTTTTTCGTAATTTAATTCAGCAAAGTTCTCAATTATTTATGGCTAATTACATTTTATTCAGGTGAAAATGAAATTGGCCAGTGAGCTAGAAAAAATGAAAGCACATTCACAGCACACACAGTACTAATGACTCAATTATTAATTGGCGTCATAAAATTCTAGAAATGTACCGCTAAACACCTACTAAATATGCGAAATAATCATATTTCATGGCATTCGCCATCATAAAAACGCGCAATTTCTGTCCAAACTATTAATTAATGTTTTCTAGGTAATTATTATTTTTAATGTGCGGCACTTATTCTACTCTGTGATCACTTGCATCTCGACATAATTTGCAGTGGCAAGAATGGGACGAATTTAATGTGAAAATAATTTCAAGTGACAAAAGGGGTGAGAGGAGGGGGGCTTTTCAGAAAGAATGAAAACATTTTCATTATAAAAGCGAATTACATATTTTTAAAAGAGCGCGTTGACAATGACAGAGTTGAATGAAGAAAATTTATCAACAAGAAAATTCGTTTATTAAAATGGCTGTTTGCAAGCGCATTATACCTCATCTCTGACACAAAATAATAATAATAAATAAAAAAGGAAAGCAGAAATTAACTTTATATGGTTATTTTCATTTAATAACCTGCTCTAATCGTCAGAAAAACTAATTAATTAAGTCATATCGAACCTCCCCATGTACTTTTAATCTTCTCGCAACCCATTTAATTTACATAATATCCTCTCCTTTTTTTTGGGATATTACTGAGCGCGTAAATTAAACCAAAATTACCATTTATCGTGGAATCGGTAATGAAATGCTTAAATTACAACAAACTAATGGCTGCACAGGGAGCTAAATATATTTGCATATATGAGAGCAAACAGAGTTCATTAAAAATTCATTCCAGCAACTCTCACTTGATTATTTAGCCGAGTTTGTTGAAAATCAATTTCGTGAAATTGCTTGTATTTATATGGAAATCCAAGCGAGCGGGGAAAATAGAAAGGAAAAAATTAACAGGAATTTATAAGAAAAGTTTTTCCGAAAAACTTTTCCTTAGAGCAACACACAAGGGCAACCACAACAGGGATCTAGGTTTTGGGTCTGAATGGGTTTTAAAATGATAAACTGACCCTCTCGCAGGATGTGGTGTCGTCCTTATGCGTCTGCATTCCCAGACGCCACCCAAAAGAACCCCAGAAGCCCACAAGAAACTTTTCCAGCCACGTCGTCTGTGTTTTTGGTTAACTTAATTCAATCAACCGAAAATTGCTTTAAAGTCGAAAATGATTTAATATTCTTGCGGGAGAGATTTCAAAGCAAACTTTAATGAGCTGATTTTTAGCAGCCGTAATTACACTGGACAAGCGAAAATGCCTTGTGGAAATTCAATTATGTACATTTAGGGCAGCTGGGAAAATAGCAGAGCAACATAGACTTGAGCTTAAACACCCTTAAAGTAGTAGGAAATTATTGTATATATATAGAAACTGCAAGTTAAATCAATTTTATTTATATTTAAATATTTATAATGCCTAATTTATGTTATTATTTCAAAACAATCAATCCTAAACTGTATAAATACTATTTATCTTTTTCACTAACTACAAAAATCAACCCCCTTTTTCGTAGGGTATTTAAAATGTAAAAACTTTCCTATGGTTGTTCATTTAATTTAAAGTTTTTCCATACTTTGTCTCGTGGTAGAAAATGCTGTGTGATAAAAGTTTTTGGATTTTGAGGAATGGTAAACAATAAACATCTCGCAATTTTCGTTCCAATTTTAAGCACTTTTCAGTGTCAACGGAAAAGGCTTTAAGCAAACTGTCGGAAGTTCAACCAGAAGGATTAAAAGTTTTGCTCAAAAGGCGAAACTAAAGCTCGGCTCAAAGGAAGAGAAGACAGTTGCCATCATTTTTGCTCCTACCACTCTTTGTATTCTTTTTCCCCATTTCCTTTTTGGCAACAGCTAGTAGTATATGTTCCTCTAACCAAGTCCAAGTTTTTGCCAGGCAAAAACTTTAACTGACTCAACATGGAAATTATTTGAGCAATTTCTTTTTAAGTTAAGTGGAAACAAAAACCAGAAATGTGATATTCTTGTAATGGCTGGCAGAGAGTTAACTCCAGGTGGATAGTTACCCAGGACCAAAGCAATTAGAATCAAAAGCCAGAGGGGGTTTAAGTTCAAGCCCAAAGATGGGAACGTGGACAAATGGTGGAAGTGCAGGGAAATGATTTATTTACCCTATAAAAGTCTCAAAAGTAATTAGGAGAATAAGGATTATTTAAAAAAATATTTTGAAATAAGGGAAATATTACAACACATTTTTCTGTATTTCTTAAAACTCAAAAAATAATTTTTTCATGTTTCTTATATAATCAAATCTTTATTAAAAAATAAACTAATCAGTACTACTAATCCTACATGAGTACTAATTGATGTTGACCATCTGATTGGCATTAGCCATCGTCCAGCTTCGTATGTAATTACAGATTTCAATTATTAGGAATCAGCAACCTGCAAAATGCATGCAATTAAGCGCAGAATAATCAATCAGCAATCAAAGCCTCTGCGAAACCTGGCTAATACGAGCGAGCTCACATGGAATTCTAATTATTTCTGTGATGGTCCTAATACGGACATGGCATTAAAATTGCAAGTGGATTAATTGGGGATCAGGGTTACAAAGTTAATATAAAATGAAAGATTTTAAAATTAATATAAAATTTTAAGATTTCTCAAAGATTTGAAGAAGTTAAAAAAACATTAAAACAAAATATTAAAAGCAAATTATATTAAATAAATCAAAAAGAAATTTATGATGAATGGTCAACATTGCGTATGAGTAATATACAAATTACGTATACGCAAAGTTGACTAGATAAACTACTATAAAATTGCTATTAATATTTTAAAGAGTAAAATATAAGAAATGATGGCAAATAAAGGGATACAGATTTGATCAGCGGATGTTCAACTCTGTGTATGAATAATATTTAAATATACATTAATCATACGCCAGGTTGAACATCCGGTCTATCACTATTAATCACTAAATTTCTAAAAATTACGTAATTTTTTTAATTTTACTTAAAGGCTATTAAATATTTATAAATAATAATATTTATAATCAACAAGCGACTAAGCCTTGGGATGCTAACAGTGCCGGAACCCCTAACAGAATCTGTTAAGCCAACGAAAGTGAGAGTTTGTATAAGAGAGAAAGTTTCAACAAGAAAACGCTCTCTTATTCACACTCTCTCTCTCTATCTCTCGACCAACTGTTAATTGGGGGAAATTGCAGCGGGAAAGCGGCAGCAGCAGACCGCAGCACGCATCAGGCCAATCGGCCGACGAACCTGAAAGCCGAGCACCGAGCACGCATCTGTTGTCGAGACGAGCGAGACTGTGCAGTCGGAAAAGTCGGGAAACTCGGGAAACTCGCATGCACCACAACAAAATTCGCCGGCAAATGCGGCGCGCAGTATGCAAAACAATGCCGAAACGTGCAGTTCAGCAACTTCAGCATACCAAATAGTAAATAGTACGAGATAAAGCCAAAACTAAATTCAAAACTAACGAAAAATCAACACAAAACTTCGTCAGTAGCAGCAAAAACAACAAATTTTTTGATAAACGTGCGCGTAACGCAAACAAAAATGCGAAAAGTTTTTTGGCTAAAGCGGGGTGTGAGATATAACCCCAGGGCCTTTAGTTTTCTGGCTGCTTGCATTTAATGCAAATTAGCAGCCAAAAGCGCAAGGAAAATAAACAAATAACACCACTTCCCCCCCGGCCGCAGGACAAATAAATCAGACAGAGTGAAAAATAACATTAGCGAGAAATCTGAGAAATTGCTGAAACGTTTGCCAAATATTTTGAGAACCTCAAAAAGTGCGTCGTGTGCCATTTTATCGAAATTAGAAGGATGAGTGGCTAGATGACACAATTTATTCACACGGTAAGAGAAATATATACAGGCAAAGGGATGCAGTCTGGGGAATATTTTGGGTCCAGAAATACCAATAAAGCTTTGAAAATGATTCTTGATCTGCAGAGAGAAAAATAAATGGCCATAAAAGCTGGCTAAGAGAGATAGAAATGTTTGAAACTACCTGAGAGAAAATGTTGTAAAATATTTCTATTTAATTAAATTATAACAAAAAAATATTTTTTAAATAAAAACAAACATTTCCTTTTTCGTATTTATAAGAATTATTTATTCTAACTATTAATGCTACCAAAGTATTAAATTTATTAATGAAAATATTAATATATGGTATTTTGGAAACACCACACAATCCTCTGGGAAAAACAACACCCTTTGAGATAGTCAAAAGATTTCTTTAAAAAATATTAATAAAATACTTAAAATAATAGAAAAATTTTTCTAATTTTATTCTCCGTGTAGGCTTGTTTTTGTGTGTGTGGTGGAATTTATCAGATAACTGAAATTTTGTGCGAATAGCAATTTGTAACTGTTGAATGTTTTGGCGTTGAGAGAAAACCCGTGGAGGCACATTCGGGACTGGAGTCCTCGAGATGAGATGCGATGGTATGGGGATGAGGAATGAGGAATTGGTTTGCCTGATGATGTGGAAACTGGAGAAGGGCTGACCAGAAAGGATTTTTCGGTGGGGAAATGAAACAAATTTTTTGACAAATTAGGGAAAACGGGGTTGAGATGGCAGCGGAAGTTACTCAGAGTGATGGTTTTCTCTGTTTGAAATAAATGTAGGAATTTATTTAAATAATTGTTTGCAGAGTGTGAGAAATGTATTCTTAAATGAAATAATCAAATTGGTTAGCCACAATGGAAAACCATTTTCAAATTTAAACCGCTTTTTGTTAATTAAAATATTAATTAGTTTATTTAAAATAAAAGATTACATTTTTTAGATATTTAAAGAATATATCTTAGCAATGAATACGATTTATTTGTTAAATTCTAAGGAGTAATTGACTGAATTTATGAAAACTGGGTACTTGGTTAGAGCTACACCTCCCAAAAAAGTGACTGAAACCTTGATACCTAAACACTAAAATAAAATTTAAATTAAACCCATAAAACTACGTTTAATGAATACTTCAAGTATCCTTAAACCTATAACCAGATCAGTCTGACTTCCTCAACTCACGCCAATAAAACACACTCCAAAGAGATAAACCCAAGGATGAGCTCATTCAGCGCAAGTAAAGTCCGCTAAAACCGAGACCCCCTCTAACCGAACCCATTCCAGCCAAGAGGCCACCTCCGCTCCATGGCCTTATAGCCCAATCAAAAGGCCGTTGCACTCGCTGACTAACTGACTGACTGACCAGCTGAGCGAATGACGTGCGCTGGCCCATTCCTTCGCTCAAACGGTTTGATGGCTTGAGTCCGAATGGGAAGACAACACACAAAAAGCAAGCAAAAAAAGGAGCAAGTCATGGGGGGAGGAGCACCAAAAGGATGAGCAGGATCAGGAGCTGGGGCAAGTGGAGCATTTCAGCAGCTGCTGCTGCTTCTGGTGCTGCGCAGGGCATGTAATTTGTCAGACAGATTTCTTTTAGCGCCAGGACACTCCCCTTAAATCCCTACTCCTGTCTTCGGACCACCCAAGCGAACCGAAAAAAAATAACGCCCACATCATTGCAACAAAACTGCTTCCTTCCTGCGCATTTGGACATGATGTTTGAAAAAGTATGGGGATTTGGAAGGACGAGCTTCTATAATACTCTATATTTTGAGATCTAGCAAATGGGAGATTAAATATATTTTTATTTGATGATTTTATGAATGAAAAATAATTGAAACTAATTTTAAAATTGTTTAAAAGAAGAATTAGCTTACTATATGTTGGATATAATTTTAAAAATAATTTTATATATTTTTATGTAAATTATTTTAAATAAATAAATAGTTTTACATACCAGAAAATAATTTCTTTGTTAGCGTAAAAATGTTTTACCAAAAGATGACCTTAAATAATATTTAAAAGAATTTTTTGAAGACATTTAATGATTTCTAAAACCTCCCTTAAATAGTGGGCAGAATTCACTTGACTTTCCTTTCTTAAAAATAATCAAAACCATTAAAAGAAAGTGAAAATGAGAACATGTCTACAGAAAAAGCGATAGAAAAATAGACAGGGAAGGAGCAGTGCCAGACATTGACATTTCAGTGCAAATGAAGTGATAAAACGTAAAGGCAAAGCGGCGTCAGCTCGAAAATTGCCAAAGCGAAAAAGGGGAAGTGATGCGACGAGGCATTGGAGGTACAGTCGGGAAACGGAAAACGTGGAAATGGGGAAATGGGTGTGTGCCGGAGCAGCAGAGACAGCCAGATCGAGTTAGATAGAGAGGCGACGAGCGGGTCAGACAGACAAAGCGCGTCGAAAATGCGTCTAATTTGATGGAAGCGATGCATGCCTTAACCTTTCGTCGGCGTCAGGCAAACAGACGGCAGTTACAACAAGAAAAACAACGATGACAGCCACCAAATGATGGCATTTCCTCTCTCGACTCAAAGGAACCGACTTAACCAAGAAAAAGAACACCAACACGAACACGAACACCCAACGGAGATGAGACGGGTTGGGATTCAAATGGCGGAACAAGTGCCAGAGTGCTGCTCCTCATGGTAATTGATGACCAAAGATGCAAGAGAATTTCTAGAAATTTATTCAAAACGAATAGAGTTTTGAGGAAATCTCATTCTCAAGACAGAAGAATACATCTTGAGGATACTTTCTAGTCATGAGTTATTTTAAAAAATTTTAAATCTCAGATAATATATCTTGTAGATACTTTCTAGTCACGCTTTCCTTTAAATACTTCTCAATCTCAGATTCCAAAACCAAGTTTTGCCCCTCAATTTAAAAATAATTAATTAATTAGCGCTTACCAGTGTTTTCTCTTAACGCCAAGCCTTTGGATAAAGTTTTCTCTTCAGCTAATTAGAAAATTCCCAATAATTATTCATCATAATTGACAATTCACTTTTACAACTACTCATCACTTGCGGAAAGTGGAGACTTTCCCCCCTCAACTCTATTGCTGCTGCATCAAAAAACGTAGAAAACTTTTGCAATTAATTACGGACAAGACCCCTAAACTGAATAGAGACCGAAACGGGCAGAGGAACTTTACCCATGAAAATAAAATTAAAATAATAAAAACGAACCTGATAAGAGTGACTCTACAGAGAGCAGCTGCAATTAGTAGTATTTTTTTAGAGGTAAAAAGGGAAATTGAAATGCATTGAGAAAGGGACAGGATTCCACTATCATATCCTGCTGTGATGGCCTACATAGAAAGGGAAGAATTAATGAACAGGGGAAGCGGGGCCAAACATCCACATCATGATAGATGAGTTAATGGGGTGACTTAGCCAGGGTTCCATCTGGGCCAACTGATGGCAAAACTGTCAATTAATGCGGGCCAGCACAGTGTCTGATGATTGGATATGTACAGCTTCAGGAAGGGCAAGAAGCTGCAGGGGCGGAAAATGAGGAAAAGTGAAGCTAACTATGTGCTAAGTAGGCGCCACTGGATTGTTCATCAAGTCCAGGGAGGGCTCCAGGGCGGAAAATAGAACAAAAGGCAGTGGTTGAAAAACAAAAGAGTGGGTGAGATAGGAAAACTGGTAATAAGAATACCCTAAGTGTAAAATTATATTTAAAATAAATATAAAAAATTATAAATATTATAAGGTAATATTCTAAACAATTTAAATATAATACTAATAGAATAAGTGATGCTTTTAGCTGGTAAAATTAATTTTAATTAATTTATTTTATTGCTTCAAAATTTCTTAAAATTATTTAAACAGTATTATATTTTATATTAAGTCATTTAAAGTTGCATCTAATTTATTTAAATACTCAAGACATTCTTTTCATTTATTTAATTTATAAATTATATATAATTATAAATATTTTATTAATTAAATCAAAAGCAAAACTAAACAAACCCTAAACAAGAGTATCTAGACAAAAAATAAACCCTTGACCGGAACAAGGGAAACCCGAAGGGAAAGCCGTCGAGAAAGGCCAAAGTTGGCCAACACGTCAGAATGTTGGGACTCAGAGTCTGACAGAAATTTCCACCACAGAAATTCTCGACTGCAAGTACAAGTAACTTTTGCCCCTGGCTCCTCCTCCATCTCATCCTGGCCTTCACCGGGAATGTATCCTGCGCCTGTGCAACTCTCGCCGCCTGTATGGAAAACTAATAAAAGGAACACCTGCCCGTCATCATTAGGATGTGCAACTTTTGTCGGCTGCAATATTGCAACCTTTTTGCTCGCCCTTTTTGGGCCCGACCCCCCTGTCAGGCTACCCATGACCATGATTAATGTTCAAATTAAACAAGGCCGCCCTGACGTTAATGACGACAAAAGAGCAGCGGCGATAACAATGCCAGCAACTAAAACAAAAGTGTTAGTCACACCCGAAACACAAAAGCAACAATGATGGCTTATAGTAGTAGATATAGAGATAATCATGATGGGCGAGTATATAAAAAAATGATTAGTCTGGGGACTCACTCAATGTCGCAGCTGAGGCATAAAGTTATCAAGCTAAGGATCATATAGCAATGTTTTTGTTTTGTTATTAATGTAAGGCAGAGAAAATTGTTACTGAATTTATAGGGTTTATTAAATATTTAAGATTTTTTATTTGCGAAAGAATATTTCAAAGTGATATCTTTTAAATTTTCAAAATATAAATAAAATTAATGAAGTTAACTAAGCTCAACTTTACAGGTCAAAGTTTTTTTCTATAATTTTTGTAATTTAACTATAAACAAAACAGTTAAATTTTTTTAAAATTCATTGAATACTTTCTGAAAATTTATTCCGTTATTTAGTAAATTCTGTTTTAATATTAAAAAAGATTTTCCATTAAAATTATCTTCCTTTTGATTGCCTTAAATTCCAAAGTGTTCAATCATTTTTAAATGAAAACAATTACTTTA